CAGACTCGCCTGGCTCTATACTGGCGGCAAATGTTTTTGGGTTTTTTTGCTGCCAGTATGACAAGGGTTTAAGAAAGCACAGTATTTGAGAGATACGCCTATGTAATAAAAAGTTTTACAGGATTTGATGCAACATTTTATATAAGTACAACTGTTATTTATTCTTCATTACTCAAAAGTTCATTTGTTAGTATTACCTGGGACAGAAAGATACATTTTAGAATCAGGTTTTACTTAATGACATGTGTAACAAAGATTACTCACCTGTTAAGAATCTACTAGTATATCAAAGCTCTGTGTTCACAAGACAATGTTAGCAGTGAAGACCACATGATCAGATGGTACTGATCAGATGTTACGGATGTTCCGGCAGATCTTGGTCTGCACTGGTCAAGTGGGTACATTTGGTTGCAGATAAAAAGGCTTAAGGTTAAATAAAAGAGTATTAGCATATTCTTTGTTATAACAATAAACATAAATATGTTGAGCACATAGCAAAACATATTTCAATATAAGAACATGTAATGTATGTTAAGACTTTTAAATTTAGTAACTTTATGACATTTTTTGTTAGGTTATCATGGTAGGGTATAGTTAATTAAATAGGGTACTATTTTTATTATTTTCATTATAAGGTACTCTATTGAGTGACAGAGGTGTTATCGTTGTATATTAAATACCAAAGATGGACATACATGTAATAAAAATCATTGAAACCATTAGTTATGAGTTTGTTATTGTTGGCTTGGTTTGTTGTTCATGTTTAAGTACAGATTAGTTGCTGGTTAGTCCTTGCTTCAATGGTGTAGGTGACAGCTTTCAGGGGCATTAACTGAGCTATTATAATATGTACTCCTTAACAAGAGGGGTTCGGGGGCATGATACCCCGAGAAATTTTGAAAAAGGAGGCCATGTACTGGCATTTTGTGACTATCTAGAGGCTATATTGACAACATATTGGTGATGATTTCAAACTCTTTTCCAAAGAAGTGGGGGTACATTGCTTTGCATTTGTCGGTCCATAGACCAAATGGTTTCTGATCAATAACTAAAGAACTCTTAGGCCTTGGAACTTCAAACTTGGTATGATGATTGGTCATGACCAGTAGATGACCGCTATTGATTTTGGGGTCAAAGGTCAAGGTCACTTTGACCTTGTAGGTATAAATGGTTTCCGATCGATAACTAATGAACGTTTAGGCCCAGGAACTTCAAACTTGGTTTGATGATTGATCTTGACCAGAAGATGACCCCAAATTGATTTTGGGGTCAATGTCACATTGACCTTGTAGGTAAGAAAAAAAATGTTTCCGATCATTAACTTAAGAACGCTTTAGCCTAGGAACTTCAAATTTGGCATGATGATTGCTCATGACCAGTAGATGATCCCAATTGGGTTTTGGGTCAGACTTGGTCATGACCAGTAGATGACCACTTTTGATTTTGGGGTCAAGGTCACATTGATCTTGTAGGTAAAAATGGCTTCCGATCAATAACTAAAGAACGCTTAGGCTTTGGAACTTAAAACTTGGTATGATGATTGCCATTGATTGGTCTTGACCAGAAGATGACCACAAATGATTTTAAGGGTAAGGGGTCAAAGGTCAAGGTCATATTGACCTTGTATGTAAAGGTTTCAAGTCAATAACTAAAGTACCCATAGGTCTAGGAACTTCAAACTTGGTATGATGATTGGTCATGACCAGAAGATGACCCCAATTGATTTTGGGGTAAAAGGGTCAAGGACACATTGACCTTGTACATTTAGGTAAAAATTGTTTCCAATCAATAACTAATAGGTAAAAAATTGTTTCCAATCAATAAATAAAGAACGTTTGGCCTAGGAACTTCAAACTTGGTATGATGATTGGTCATGAACAGAAGATGACCCCTATTGATTTTTGGGGTCAAAGGTCAAGGTTCACATTGACTTTGTAAGTAAAAATGGTTACCGATCAATAACTGAAGAACGCTTTTTGGCCTAAGAAATTCAAACTTGCATGATGATTGCTCATGACCAGTAGATGACCCCTATTGGTGTTTTGTCAAAGGTCAATGTCAAATTGGCCTACATGATTCATAAAATTTATGCATACACATTATTTGGTAAGATTTGTAATAACTTTGTCCTAAAATTTGTGGACACAACCTTTACATTTACAATTACCTAGTGACTAGTCATGACCAGTAGATAATCCCTATTGATGTTTTGGTCACTAGGTCACAGTCATATGACTAATTAAGATGCCAAAAAGGGGCATACATGTTTTACAAAACATATTCATTTAAAATATGTAAAATGAACAAGTATGTTACATATACTATAAAACTTTTATGCCCCCTTCGAAAAAATCTTGAAGATTTTTTATCACAAGAAAGTGGGGAGTGAGTAGGTCACAGGGTCTTGAATGTCATTTGGTTTTATGATCTTGAAAACTATTTATCACAAAGTCTTCATATTTGTAGTAGTGATTGGTAATACCTATTAGATGACCCCTATTGATATCACTAGTTAAAAGTTCTAGGTCACAATGGCCTTAAATATCTCATTATCTTGAAAACTATTTATCACAAAGTCTTTATTATTTTTCTTTTTTCCATAATTGAACACTTCCTTGTACCCTTTATGACAAGTTTCTGAAACAAAATTACCAACTATGTGAGTCAATGGCTAGAAAGGGGGGCATATGTGTCGTTCGACATTCTTGTTTATATTTATAATCGATTTTTTTTGCAGAAAAAAGTATTATTTTGCGACCTTCAAACTGATGTTATAGCAACAAATCTCCCGTATTCAGTAAATTTTAAATTTAAAAGGCCCGCTAGGAACGTCGAAAGCTAAAGAAAGCGTTTGTTTTCATTGATCTGATTATATGTCATGTTTGGGTACAGAGCCTTGCTTCCTTTGAAAAGTCCGGGAATTGTCAAAATTCACATTAGTCCATCACATAAGCCACACTAACACTGAGACTCTTGGATCCAATGCTCTTTCAGGAAAGACTGTCATTCTGTATCTTCATAAGTAGGAACTAATGTAACAATATATTAATTTATGAATGATAATAGTGTGAAAATTGTGAATAAGTTCAGTGAGTTTTTTGGCCTGTTAAATATTTCATTACATTACAATATATATAAAAAAATACCGCGTTATATTACACGCAAAGATATTTCAAAATCCCCTTTCAGAAATGTCAGTAAATTAATTAAAAATTGTTGCGTATAACATAAATTACGTGCATCACGTGAAAACATTAAATGATTTATTTAAGACATTTTTTGATCACGTAAATTCATTAGCAGATATATGACTTTAATAATGATGTCACTTGCTTGATGACTCATCGCAATGTTTTGCTGACCACAAAGAATGATAATGTAAACAACTAATTTTAGAATATGACGATTCTTTTAAATAAATACATAAAATTGAGAAGGAATTGTACATTCTTTGTCTTTTTCTGCCTTTTCGGCACGCTCAAGTAATTCTCTCAATCAATTGATTATTATGCCATTGATAAATTACACCAATTTGTTACTTGTTTTCTGATTAAAGATGAGAACAAAAACCAAACATACAAAGCTACGTTGGCAGAATACAATCCAGCCACACCAGCAGGGGACCCAGAAGGCACCCAACCAATAGCAGAAGAGGACACGAAAGGGCCGATACGGGATGAGTTAAAAGTTTGGGGAAAAATTATTGCGGGCGACCTGCTCGCCGAATAAGAAGCACGGTGCGCAAAACATGCTGCCAAGCCAATGCTCGGGGAATATCTCGGCCAAGAATGGGTTCTGAACCAGACACCTTAAGCTTTTCGTAACTGTCCTCCGCTGAATCTGTATAATATATCGCAATATAGATTATTTTAAAAGATATTAATTTATACTGTATATGTTATGAAATTTTTATATAATGATTAAATCGAGTCAGTAGACCTATAAGAATATATGTGCCCCGACCACACTACCCTCTCTGTTTTTATTACTTTTTTAGAACTTTTAGCGCATGTGATGTTTTTGAATACAGGATTGATTTGTAGCACGGGCGTACAGGAGTACGCCTAGTAACGCCCCTGGCTAGCATAATTTTGCAAGCGCACGTTCCCCCAAACAAACAGTTACTTGTTTAAAACCATCTGAGTCCTGTTTCAAAGAATGTTAATATGTAGCATTTCATTGTGAATCAGGGTCTTCACCATTACTTGTCTTAAATATAGCACTTATTTTAAGTCTCGGTGTAAATTCATTAATTACAATATTTATAGACAATATTTAAAACGACAATCGAGCTGTGGATTCAGCGTTTTGTCAGTACAACAAAAGTAAGGAAAGAACAGCAATCCCTGCTTTTAAATTTTGAGTACAAAACGACTGTATTTAATTCGCGTTTGATTGAAACGCCGTATGAAATAGTGCTCTTCAACCAAGAACATATATATGTAGTATATATGTAAAGCACAAAAACAAGACTAGTAATTGTTAAGGTTGAAAAATTAAGTTCAATGCAATCTTGTGATAACTTCATAAATGTTTTGATTATAAAAAATGTGGGATATAGACAAAATATGGTCAACATGTCACTTTCTTCTGTTGGACCAATCGCACTGCAAAATACGTCGAATTACATGACTAAAGCTATTCAGCTAGCTTACTTGAGTTCGCTGATTCCTAGTGCTCCCTGGAAATGAATAAATTATTTGAATTTCCAAGTTTATCATTAAAACTTTCATATGTTTTAACCACGAACATACGTTCTTACCAGAAAGGAAAAAAACGCTGGAAGTGTTTACATGAGCTTTTTATCCCGTTATTTCCGTGTACATGTTTTTAACTTGCGTAAATCCCACACCTTCGTTGTTAATTTAACTTGTTTACAAAACTAAAAAAATGAATATTCTAATAATCATAAACAAAATAGAAAAAAAATCATATCCGCCATATCATAATACCATAATTAATGACATAAGACAATGTATAAATAAATTTTGTAATAGTTTGGTTTCATTGATGTCTTACTGAGAAAGGAGAAACATTGAGGTACGTCCATTTATTTGTCAGTTTATTTCAGATAACTCTTTAATGTGGGCTTAATAAATAACAAGTGAAAAGCATTAAAGTACGTCGTTTTACTTATTAATTTATTTCTTTTTTTTTTCTTTTTTTTTAAATCTTAATTTAGTTTTAGACAATACAAAGCTTATATTTTAAAATGTATTTAACTAATTCGAACTCATTGCCCAGGAAAAAAAATCTTCGGCATTCTTAGCTTCTCCAAATTTCTATTTGATTTGTTTCAGATAAACTTTATACAACGTAAAGAAAAACAATGTTGGGTGTCTTTGTTTTCAGTGTATTATTAAACATGGCAATGTCAGGTATTGTAAAAATCATTTTGGTTGATTTTGTTAGTATAAAGAAAAATAAAAGAATGTTTAAGGATTACTTCATAATAGTGCAATAAGCATGTATTATTGCCACTAGATTCAATCTAATAAATCAGAAAGAACATTTTTGGGTTCAATCGCAATTGGCAAGAAACAAACTTGATTATTTTCTTTTCAAATTCTTTCAAAAAGTGAAATGCATATACCGAATATTTTAACTCACATTTTTCTTTCTTTTTAATATAGGTGTCATAGAAAATCCTGTATCACTGATGTGTCTAAATTGCATGTGTAAGGTAAGCTATCAAGAAAAGGACAGCTTATTCTTGATATCATATATTTTTATAGATTAAGGTAAAATATTCTTTTTGCTAGTTGTATTCTTTTTGCTAGTTGTATGTCTAGTGGCGACCGTAGATTATCGCCCGGTGTAATGGCTCACTTTAGCTAGTTTACTCGGTGTCACTGAATTTAATTTTAAAAAAAGACCGCTGGCGATGAAGCCGTTGCTGTTGAAAGCAAAAATATCTCATTTATAGTGTTTTTAAACCAATCAATTGTTAATTGATGTATGATCTTTTGATGATCTTCACTGTTACCAAGATCACATTCAGAATTGGTCTCTTTTTGTCTTTCTTCCTTGTTTCTTGATACTGTATTTGTAATGTACATGCATTCAAAAGGCCAATTTCGACATGATATCTACATTTTTAGAACATGGTGGTGTTAGTGCTTTGTTACTGTAGATGACTTATATTTACAACAGCCTTTGTCGGTTGGCTGCTGCAAAAATAGCTCCCTCATTACTGTAATATTTTTTCTAGGCCTATGGATTCATTAATTTATATTCATACAGTGTAATAGTGTTGTGATTTATAACTTCTAAAGCCGGCATTTGAAACTTGTGAGAGATGGTACTTTCGTAAAGAATCGAATGAAGTCTGCCAATTTCACCTTTTGGCTGCTTTCCAGTGATCTCCATTTTTAAAACCAAACCACTAATCAAAGCAATTATTTTGTATTTTCATACCTTAAGATAATATTTGAACACTTTTAATTTGTTCCTGATCATTAAACAAGATGAAAATAACACACAAAGTGTGACCGTATTGAGAAACCTGTACGTTATATAACTATTATCTTCTGTTGAAGGTAGCAACAACCTCCTGTACTGACGTAGGCTGTAACCATGACCGCGAGGGAATTGCGTGCGGATATTACCAAATCCATTATGGTTACTATATTGATTGCTACAAACCAGTACCAGGTTTGCTTCTTTTTATTAGAAATGATAGACCTTTTTACAATTAATGTATTTATGTTTTTCGCGCATGCGCTGTTTTGCAGTTGTAAACACCATGTTGTAAAGCACTGATTGCATATCTGTTGCCTAATTATTGAGAAATTGTTTCTTTTGGCGATTAGGCTAATACAAGAATGCTTGTAAAATTGCTGTCGGTGATGGTAACGGGACGTCTGTATATGAATTAAAGCTATGGTGTTTAAACCCTGGCAGCAAACAAAACTAAACAAAGGAATCCGTAAATCTTATATGACATTTGAATTTATTATTCAAGTGTGTTATATCTAATCCTAATGTCAAGAAATCAAATACCTGCTTGAAAAGGCGTGTATATCACATTCATTGTCTGCGATTGTCCCATCTCCAATACAACGCCCCAGCCACCCACCCATAAAAACAAACAAATTGTATGAAAGTGTTCAAAAATTATCATTGAAGGATCTTCCAAAATTTACACTTCAATTTAAATGTATTTATATTGTTATAATACATTGACTTACATGTATATACTTGTATTTTATGCGATATTAATAATTTTAAGTAACCAACTACAAAATTAATGCCATAGAACGGCGGCTTTGTAGTAGAAGTTTCGGCCAATTCTTCGGGACATTTTATAAACGCGTTTTAAATAAGTAACCCTGGTATTTCTATATTTACAGAAAGTGGCTGTAGAGGCCTCTCAGAACAAGAATGCTGGATGAAATGTTCCAGAGATAAACCCTGTGCAGAAAGGTGTATCCAGTCTTACATGTTACGGTACAGAAACAAGAACGGAGCTGGATCAGATTGTGAGAGCTACGTGAGACTACATGCCGGCGGACCATATGGTGCAGCAAAATGGAACCAGGCCTGGTACAATCGAACAAGTTATTATTGGAACTATGCGAGAGCTTACGGGTGCGTCTGGAATTCATAGATCGAGTTTGGAAGAGTGGTCTTTTTGTCGAGATTGAAAATGATATCTTCTAATTGTTGACTTTGTATAAATCTACAATACAAGTTTGCATTACGTGTTCTTATTGAGAGATAATGCTCTTGCTTGAATGAGAATAAAAGTTGTATTTCATCTTAAAAGTTGTCTATGTAAATTGATATGTGATTCTTTTATTGAATACTAGTATTTATGTTTGAAATCTTTATGTGTAATCGTTCTTCTAAAGAAAATATAAGAATTTGCAAATGTTTCTTTCTGATAATGTAGCTCAGGAACATCTCTTGTGGCCTTAGTGCTTACACTGTTTCATCTTGCTGCTGAAGAACTTGAATAGTTCACTTAACTTGACAACACACGTATGGTAATGTCAAATAATTAGTCCGTGCTGAACAATGTGTGTGCGTGTGCGCGCGCTCTCGCGTGTGCGTGTTGTTTTGTTTTCCTTCTTGACTCTTGATTTCTTTCTGGATTTTTTTGAATTAATACGCGGAAAGTCCGAGCGGGGCCAAAGGCCCCGCGAGGGCTGTAGCGCTCTTAGATAACATGTATGACGCGTATCAATTCAAATAAAATCAAATTAAAAGTAAATGAAAATTTCAAAAATATATATATCCTATACCTAATGAGCTGTAAAAAAATCCTTAGTTAACTGGGCGCCGCCATTTTGAAATCCTTTTGAGCTAAATATAGATATCAGAGCGCTTTTAATGAGCGTCTACATAATTCAGACTATTGCTAGCAGACGCATGCTAAATAACACTTCCGGTGAAAGAATGATGTACAAAATCAGAAAATAAACATGCATTTCATTAATAGAACTATAGTAACGATTATAAATATAAAAAGTTACTTTAACGTATCCTTTTTGATAAATAAACACATTAAAAAATAACGTTAAAACAACAACTGTGATTAGAGATAAACAAAAATGGCGGCCGGAATTTTCCAAACGCCGACGCATGCGCAGTGCCCCCCTTTACGTTTGGAGATTTTTGGGCACCCCCCCCCCCCCCCCGATGATAGGTTGAACACCACCAAATTATTCGTTTTGTTTGATGGAACAAAATACCTGCAAGGAAAATCTGGTTTACATGTACAATAAACATGCTCTGCTAAAATCATCATTCATAAGAGCTTTCTGCGCCATAGGTAGCACCTAATTTCATATTAAATGTATTACTGTTATCGTCCGACATTTATGTTTTTCTTCCTTCATTAGAATCTTCATTTAACAAAAAAATTCTTTACGTTAGAGTCATACAGATATATTGTTAAAATTTTTGTGATGACATTTTTTGAAAAACAACGTGCGTAAACTTCAAACAAATGTATACGAGTATATATAGTGCAATTTGTCATTAAACAGAAATTGTTATATCAGTTTGACTTTCTGTAAAATCAGCAGGGGAGGACTGAATATAAAAATATTTTTCATTAGTCGTTCTAAAATAAAATGTAAAGGATAGTACATAAAATTAAAAGGATAGTTTTACGACTAGTAAATAAAATGTAAAGGACAGTTAAAAAGTAAAATGCACAGGAATGAAGATAGTTCTTTAACCTTTACAGTAGGTTAATTTGTAAATGATTAAAAAATTATAATGGCAAACTTAAAACAAGTAAAAGGGACACCTAAAATTCTTTTTGAAAAATCATCAATATCAATATGCTATAATTTAATTTCAATGTTTACAAAATTGGTATTTTCTTAGCTACAAGAAATACTTATTATGTTTTTGTTATGCAAGCATCTTTTTGTATTTAAAACTTAGAAATAACATAATTTTGCATGTTATCCAGTTTTACTTCGGCCGAGTATCTTTTTAAAAGGTACTTCTTGTTCTATTTGAAAGTCCCCTATGCAGGATTATATTTAGTACCACAAAACCTACAGTATGCGGAACAGGAAATGAGAAAGCAAGGGGAGTTACTCTTATAATTTCCGGCTGTCAAAAAAATCGGGAAAAAGGTAAACACGGAAAATGTTTGAATAAATGAATTTCACGGGGAAATACAAGGGTAAACGATGGAGAAACTTAAACAGCGCCTTGGCAAGAACAATGCAATCGAGAATGTATTAAATGACAGACATGTTGATGATCAGGAGCAAGAATTAGCAGATGACACTGACGCATTCACAAATTCAGCATCCAGTGAGCTCGAAGTGGACATTTCATTACGACTCAAGTTGTCAGAATCTTCAAATAGTGTCCATGAGAAAAGTATCATTATTTGTCTTAATTTGTGCACATATCTTTCAAAAGATTCTTCTTATAAATTAATATAATAAGCTTCATGCATCAATAATGTTTAGATTATCATAAAAAAACACAGCTAAATAACCGAAATACCTACTGGTAGGGGACCATCAACCAGACACTTTTTGAATATTTATCCATACAAATTTCACAATTTAAAAGCTAGAGATCTAAAAAAAAATTGACATAGTACAGCTAGGTTCTTCTCTTACTGTCAAACTAGTTTGTTTATTTTGTTTATACGTTATATGTTAATTGGCACTTATATTTGAGGCCCGTCAAGGAGGGTATCAAAACTACCAAAATTGTCAACACAACAGTACCATGTGTCCGAGCAAATATGTACATGACGTTGATTTAATCTAAATAAAAGCTTGGGTGTTTTTATGTTATATTTTTAATATGATATACAGTATTTCAGAAGCATTTCAACAGAAAATGCTGAAGTTTTGGACATTCCATATTTTACTTTGCAAATGATTATAGCTAGTATAAGAGGTCAGGTATTGCACACTTGATGTCCAAATGTTCAACGTCAATTTTCTTGAAATATAAATCAAAATAATATGAAATTAGGCAAAACCTATGAACTGGGAAGTCGTTAAAATAATCCTTTCATTCTTTCCGTTTTAAAGGTGTCATCCGGTATTACATGCACCGCTTCCGTTTTCACTCTGAACTCTCGATGATTATTATTTATCCGAAAAGTTGAGATGTGTTCTGTTCTTGGAATACCCCGCCTATTATCATTGAGTTACATTGTAAATGGCAGTGCCCGATTAGAACTGACACTGAAAATTTCATTGATAGGTATAGAATTCTATATATTTTTTTATGTTTTGTCCATTTAGAGAAAGTCACAAAAGGTCACACTTGTATGGATGAAGTGAAAACACAACTCTAGTATTTGAATGAAAATAGGGCATTTATTAAATGCCATAAAATACATAGCAAGTAAAAAACGTTTTCACAAGAACATAACTGGATGGAAAAAAACGCCACAAACCCCACCTATGTTTTTTATTTGATTTTCTTTTAAATATACACATGTAGTCTATAGCCAGGCAAGCCAAAGCCCGGACCCGCTTCACGGTCCTTGACTTCCCCTTATTACCATTTACCTAAGTTAAAATAAATTTAATTACTTATTTATTGAAGAAACTTGCATTTAATGTTGAAAACAAAGCGACTGATAGAACAACAACTACTGATCAAAGAAAAACACTAAACATGCATTTTTGTGGCCGTTCAGGTTTGGTGGTTGTCCAGTTTTGGAGGTCCCCGACCAATTGGCGTGGATATATCAGAAAACCTTACATGGGATGCCCACATAAACAGGACATCCAAAAAAGCAAACCAAACCTTAGTATTCCGATGTAGAACCATAAATATTAAATCCCAGTCCATTAAGACCATTGCTTACCAGATGTTATTCAGCTTGAATATGGTTCCGAAGTATGGTTTCCCCACACCAAAATACAAATAGATCGAATTGAAAATATCCAAAGAAGAGCAGCCCGACGGATCAAGCTAGATTATGGTCAGACCTCTAGCATTACGGACATGCTTCATACCCTTAAGCTGCAGAAAGTGGTACTCAGACGTATAGATGCTAGGTTATTCCCTTTTCTATATGATTCACCATGCTCTTGTTGCTATCCCCATAGAAGAATATGTGACACCCCACTCCCGAACATCACATCATGGTCATCCTTTATGTTATAAGTTATTCACAGCAACTTCAGACTATTACAAATTCTCTTTCTTTCCTAGAATGGTATACCACTGGAACCACATACCCTCTGCCATTGCCCTGCTACCTACCCCAGAGCAGTTCAGTGCAACCATAGCTTGCATTGAACATGTCTCATCCTAGTTTTTCAGCCCCCTGTTTTTTAAACCATTATAGCCATTAAGGATTCTCCTCAAAATAAAGAGAACAAAAAAGTTGTCAAACTTATCAATGGTGCCAGTAAGGTAATTCACAAGCTCCAAACAGTACCTTTCTTTAGAAATTGCTGTTTCAATATTCCATTCACTTCCAGTAAAAATATTTATTTGAAAGTTTACTAGAGTCTAGATTGGTCTTCTGTTGGTCGGCGCTAAAAAAATTGTGCATATCATTTATCAATACAAACATCTTAAGTGTGACGTAAGAAGCTGCTGCCCTGACAAATGATCAATGTCAATGTACATTGTTTTCCATTTCTTCAATATCCTTGTTGATTATTCCCAGTACTGAATTGCACAGTCAGCTTAAATTTTTCACCAGTTGAAATACCCTTTAAGATTAAAACTAAATGATAAAATAAGAGATTTGTGATCATTGCCATACATGCCATAATGTTCAGGACGTCCAGGGTTGTCCCCAAAATAAGGTATCTGTCCCGGAGATGATTTATGACCCGTTAAAAATCAAAATCTATATTAATCTACTTTGCAGTTAGAAATTTAATTGCACAAATAATTATCAAGCATAATTAGCAATTACTAATCTATAGAGTTTTATACATGTCTATTTTCTTGCAAATCTGAGCAAAAGATCATGTACTGGTCAGGGTTAGGACTCATTCACTACATAATTGCTAATAAGGCACAAGTAACTTATTACACTTTAAAAGCAATAATTGGTGGTATTGTCCTGGGATGATATTTTTTTGGTCTTAACCGTACTTGGGAAAGTCTATTAAAGGGTAAGTCCTATATAACAGTACTTGGGAAAGTCTATTAAAGGATAACTCCTGCCTATTGCGCTATCTAGGTACATGAAAATATGATGTTTTACGTGGTATTTTATTTAAGAGGCTTGATACTGCCTTGCCTATTTATCGCATTGTTATTAATCTTTGTTATTGTAAACAAAGGCTCAAGTTATCATCCTGGGACAGTATACTTCTACTGTACAAAATGTACAACTTATCTTAAGATTTGTTTCCTTATTAAGGAAAATACATGAATGCTATGACTGACACAAGGAAGAAATAATTAGTATTATTATATACATTTTATTTTGAAGTTTATTGTATTATTTTTCAGTTTGGTGTATAGGTTATTAAGTTTGTTGTTCAGTAAAATGAAGTGAGTCAAAAAAAAAAAAAAAAAAAAAAAAATATATAAAAAAAAAAGTATAAAATAACTGGAATTAAAATTTCAGATTGAAAATTGACTTTAATTGATTACTTGTTTCAGATTGTAGTGGTGTTTACAATGAGGAATCAAAAGAAATTCATGTACCAGATTTTGACAGTGAAAATCCCATGAGTGGACGGACAGTTTTTGAAATCATCTCCACTGACACAATCAAAGATGGACATTCTAACTTTGTGGTAATTTATATCCATTGAGTTATTTAAATCAGCCATAACCGAAATCAAACTCCTCACAGTGATTACCGCCCTTGGCAAAACTGTAATCACTGCCTTCACAGACATCACATGATGATGAAAGTCACATGAAGTTGTGTCGAAATTCAAATGTAAATATCGACCATTACATAGAAAATATAACATCATTTTTAGCTCGACTATACGAAGTATATGGAGAGCTGTCCTACTCGCCCCGGCGTCCGCGTCCGCGTCCAGATTTTAGATTAAAGTTTTGGTGCAGTAAAATATTTTTCACTATAACTTTGTCATTTCTTAAGGTATCAACTTCAAACTTCAAATATATGTTCCTTATCATCAACCACATCTTAAGTGACAAGGTTCATAACTCTAGCACTAATATTTTCAGATTTATCTCCCCTTGAACTTAGAATTTTCCTTAAAAAATACTATTTTTTACTGATACTTCTTTATTTCTTAAGGTATCAACTTCAAACTTCAAATATATGTTCCTTATCATCAACCACATCTTATGTGACAAGGTTCATAACTCTAGCACCAATATTTTCAGATTTATCTCCCCTTGAACTTAGAATTTTCCTCAAAAAATACTATTTCTTACTGTTTCTTCTTTATTTCTTAAGGGGTCAACCTCATACTTCAAATATATTTATATTTACATTATCATCATCCCCATGTTATGTGACAATGTTCATAACTCTAGCACCAATATTTTTAGATTTATCTCCCTTTGAACTTAGAATTTTCCATACAAAATATTATTATTTACTGTAACTTATTTATTTCTAAAGGGATCAACTTCATACTTCAAATATATTTACGTTATCATCATCCACATCTTATGTGACAAGGTTCATAACTCTAGCACCAATATTGTAAGAATTATCTCCCGATAAACTTAGATTTATTTACTAGAAAAATGTTATTTTTTATTTTAACTTTTTTATTTTTAAAGGTATCTACCTCAAACTTCAAATACTTATTCCTTATAATCATTTACATTTTATGTGACAATGTTCATAACTCTTGAAGCAATATTTACAGATTTATCTCTCTTTGAACTTAGGATTTTCTTTAAGAAATATAATAACTTGTTTATTTTTTAAGATATCTACTTCAAACTTCAAATATATATTTCTTATCATTACACAAATGTTGTGTGGCAAGGTCCATAACTCTTGCATAACTATTTCTAGAATTATTCCCCTTGATCTTGGAATTGATGTTAACAAATGTTATATTTTTACTATAACTTAATACTTAATTATACATAATTGATTTTTCTTTCATAGTTTTGTCGTCCTTACTATGTCCAGCATTTTATTAGTCGAGCTTCGCTGTCTCCTGTGACAGCTCTTGTTCTCTTTCTGTTTTATTTTTAACTTTTCGTACCTACGTTCGTTATAGTTTATCAAAAAATTATCAAAAGTATACAAAATAATTCAAAAGCTAGAAAGTATATAATATCAAAATTTTGATGAACATTTTTGTGGTGGCAGAGATCTCTGTACTGATGAGGGGAGATCACTGTGTAGGAGAATGATTGCAAATATAGAACATGGTGTTCTTTAAAGCAGCATGCCTACAGATTTATGCTAATTTTCATAAGAATTTTGAAAATTTATTTAAAAGTAAAATATTGTTTAGTGAACTAAGAATGCCATATTGCAAATGGCATTTAATATCCACGCAAATCACCCAAAAGAGGTTAATGCAGCTTTAATGCAGCCATAAAGAAATATATGTATAGATGAAAGAACCAAACCTAGATTAATTATTTCATATTGATCGGGAAGTTTCAATACAATTTTGCCATTGAGATAAGTAAAGATATCAGATTTATTGAAAAAATTAATCACGCAAAAATACATGTATTTAAATCATTTTCTGCTATGTTTTTTAAAGATATACAGGATTTTGCTCACTAAATCCTCGATAGTGGATCCAAACCCTGTTGTTGTTGAGAGACGTTACTCAGACTTTCAGTTGCTTCATCAAAATCTTCATAAACATTTCAATGAACAAATGGACGTTATATCATTCCCGAAGAAAAGATTGTTTGGTAACTTCACGCCAAAAACTATAGCAAAAAGAAGTCGCGCTTTTGAGCAGTATCTTACGCATTTATATACCATTGACGAGATTCGATTTTCACAAGTATTTTTAGACTTCTTTTGTCTGGCTGATCTAAAAGAAGCGTACAACTCTATGTTAGATGTAGAATACGAAAAAGCAATCACTTTCTTTCAAAAGGTGCTACTTATCCAAGAGAAGATTTTAGGGTTCCTCAACCTGAAGATTGGGGAGACATTATGCGCGTTAGTTTCATGCTGTCAAACAGTTGAGGATGATATGATGGGATTGAAGTATGGGAGACAAGCGTTGAAGTGCTACGCAAATCATGAAGAGAACAAGTATTACCTCCCCTTGTTGCAGAGCTGTGTGCATTTATGCTGGAAAACTGGCGAGGATAAAGCCAAATTAGAAGAAATATTAAATCAGAGAAAAAGAGACTCTAAGGATCTTCCCTCATTATTGTCTGTGGTTCACAGCTCTGTTATTTTATGAGAAAGATTGTCATGTATTTATTGATATCTATTGTATGATCGTTTTGGTTTCAGTTTTTACACTTTTATATACAGCTGGTAATTTTTAATGGTTGCTACTTTTTACACTTTTTAATATGTATTCTATTGGGCAATTAGCTGACAGTTTCTTTGTTGATATGAGCCTTAGATTTACAGTATAAGCTTTATTAATGCTGTGAAAAAGAGCCCACAACATATCAAATTCATCATTACTTCATCTGTCTTTCCATTCTTACCATCTCTAGCTTTATCCAAATTAATCCATGAAACTAGCCCAGGTCTGTTATAGATATTTGTCTATTGTTTCCATAATTTAGCCGGATTTGTTTCAGAGACTTATCTGTTGTTTTCATTATTTAGCCAGATACTTTTTTATATTTAAGAGATATTTGTTGTTTTCAAAATTTAGCTACAATGTAGATCTGTTCTAGATATATTCATTATCATATATCTGTTGTTTTCATAATTTGGCCAGATCTATTCTAAAAATAATATCTATTGTTTTGTAATTTAGCAAGATAAGTTGAATAGATACATGTATATCTTTTGTTTTCAAGATTTAGCCAGATCTGTTCTAGAAATATATGCAGATCTATTGATTCCTAAATTTACCCAGATCTGCTCTAGAGATGTATCTATTGTTTTCATAATTTAGCCAGATCTGTTCTAGAGATATTTCTATTGTTTTCATAATTTAGCCAGATTTGTTTTAGACAGGGGCGTAGCTAGGCCGAAATCGATATTATGCACGCTCAGGCTGGGGGGTTAAGGGGGCCGCTTTAGGCCCCCTTGCAGGTCCAGGGCAGAGCCCTGGTAGGGGTCCAGGGGGCGAAGCCCCCGGAAGCTCATTGATTTTCACCATTTAGAGATGTTTAAATTATGCATTTTCATGCCCATTGAGGTCCATAAAATTACAAATTGAAGTCAGAAGGAATTTAATATTATCATTATAAGAACATTTTATGTAATGATATGAGTTGTGTTAATATGTGACGTGATTTAGAAAACGTCTTAGATATAATTGCTAGATCGTATAATAATATTTCAAGGTATTTGATAAACGTTATATAAGGATATACATTGAATAAACAGACGCAAACAAATGACGTGTACGCTTTTACTAGTCAGCAAATAAAAGTGACAAACACAAATTTATCTACAACAACGTCAGCCTAGATCACCCTGTCTCTATGGATCTGCAAAAGTCCTAAGCCAGAGAGATGACCAGTGGTCATCGTTGAGCGCTAGAAAGTCTTTAGCCTTTTCCAGCTGATGAATGAACGATCAGCACTGGCATTGCTGGAAGGAAATGCAGACACTTGTTAACATTTGGATAAAGCTCTGTCGGTATATCTAACAGCACATATTCTATAATAAACGGAGACTGCAACAGTGAAGTCTCGCACCGATTTACAGAAAATAATGTGTTTTCTTCATTTTTAGATTGTTGTTTCTCAATTGAAATATCGTTACTAACTAAAATCTAAAAATGTTATCAGTTACTACGTAGCGATGAGTATTATCTTAAATTACTTTTGTCTGCTCAATGTTCTCGTAGCAGTCGAACTTCTGGTATCATCTCTGTTTCTCGAGCTTTGATGAAAACGGTCGTTCATGGCAGTCATTTACTTATACGGCAAACTGATTTCTTTTTGGGCTAATATGCTTAATATCACACTGAAAAGTGTCCTTTGCATTTGTGAAAATATTGCAAATTTTCATTTCTCAGTGTGATATCTAGCATACTCATTTATATATATACAGTAAATTTTTGTTATTTGTTTGTTGTTTTTTTCCTTTTTTTTTAATTTATAAGAGAGTCGACATACATAATGCCATTACAATAAAACGCATAGAAAATTATTTTATTATTACAGATACTTTGATATATACATAACATGTATAGGATCTCACATGAGTTGTCATTGATGTAAAAATATGATGTAAAACGATTAAAGAAAAAGTTACAAACCTTTGACGAGAGTTTAAGATATTTTTAAGTAATGCCAACTAATGTAAGTTTCATTTTTATTACACATTAAATCGCATTCAAATTTGTATAAATAAATACAGTTAAATAAAAGTTATATCGCCAGCACAATTTTCTTTTTCAAAGAGTTCAATCAAATTTAATAATGATCACACACGAATACATCTTTCAGATATATTTGTGTGGGATTTTATAATTTGCCAATAAGTAACTGATGAAAGAAATTATAAAAGAGTAGTACTTAAAAGTAAAAAAATGCCTTTGAGACATAAAAATAAAAGAATTCTGGGGCATACTGGGCCTTTTGAGGCTATACTTTAAGAGCGTCACTGAAAAAGAAAACAACGACAACAAACACAAGAAAAACGTTTTTACTGTTATATAGTTAGTAGTAATACATATTTTTCTTCTTGTGCATTGTTTGCGATTACTACAGTTAAAGGGATTTAGTATTTTGTATGGAAGTCAAAATACTACTTTGTTTACATTTTGCTACTTTTTTGACAAATAATTTCACATTAAGCGCTACTTTCTTCGTTAGAAGCATTTAACAAGCTCTGAAACTATTATTTAAATGTTTTAACCCATTACTTCATATACACGCCTTTTAACGCCTTTTTCACCCCCCCCCCTTTTTGATGTCTCAAATGATGAAAAAATGCCTTATTTAGGCCCCAAACACTTGTTTTTGTTTGAGAAATGTTGTTAAAAAAAGTGACCCTTTTTTCGGCGCGGCCCCCCAACCAAAAGATACATCAGGGGGTTGCCAGAAGGGGGATGTGCCCCCTTCTGTTTGGGGGGGTTTGAAGGGGGGCGGAGGCCCCCTCATCGCCAAGAAAATTTTGGACTTGTGAGAGGCTGTAAATGACCCCAGATTGATCATAAGGTAACGTGTAACCAACGCTGAAAAGCATTTGACTCTATCTCAATCCATTGAGAAGTTGCAGCACTTTGAAATCAATTTTGATGGAAAAAATCAACGCAAAATAGTGATTTTTGGCAATTTTGAGATGTCCCCTCGTTGCCATGGTAACAGAAAATTTAAGCCTGAGCATGTTGTTGCAAGGGCAATGGTCCAGTCAACATTTGTGCCAAGTTTGATTAGTGTTGAAGCAGTTTTTATAGTATTATAGCAATTTGAACTTGTAACGGGAGACTTTTCAATGAAAACAGCCATTTTTCACAAAATGCTCATGAAGCAATGGGTTAAAGCAGCACACCTCCAGATTCATGCTAATTTTCATGAAAATTTGAAAATGTATTTAACGCTTTAATATTGTAAAGTTACCAAAATAATGCAATTTAGACATTATCAATGCCACTTACAACCTATGTAAATTACTATAAAGAGGTCAAAATATGCAAAAATAGCCCTTACTGCGTTCGTAACGCAATAACATTAAATTTTAGTTATACATACTGAAAAATTCGGTCATTAATAGCACATTACATGTAAAGTTTTACTAGAATTTTGACTCTTTACTGTATACCTTTCCTAAAATCTTACTACATGTACACTTTTCTCAGGTTTGATTTTATCGAAATAGTGCAGCTTTAAAACTTGATCTCGATCATGTTTCTCCTTTTTGAAGAAGTAATAATATATTCATTTCTGAGGCATAATTGTCCGTTTTCTCGACAGAATAAAACGTGGTTTTAACAAGCGACGTCGTGTGATTTATCTTTCTGGCACTCCCAATGCAAACGTTTAAACGAACACATTAATGGACAGTGAAACTCTATAAAGTTTATCTGTTCCTGAGAACATTAGCTATTTGCTTGATGGGCGCCGCATCATTGGCCTCGTCGGCGTTACAGCCAAAGAATGGAGCGGCGTTGCAGGTCTCCACAATTGTTTTGCTGTTAATCTCGCCACATACAGTAACTCGTTCTGTATGTCGGGCGAAGTGTATTTCGAGCGAGCATTACCTCCGTTAGAACCGTATTATGCTTCATATAGTTCTTTATGGATTAATACTCTTTACGTTATATTATTATTGGGACTTATTAGATCTACGATCTATATTTATATTAGAATCAATGATATAATTAGAGCTAGATCTATATAAATGTTGGAACCATGCCTCAAAACACTCCAACACCACCCACGCCTATACCCTTTAGTTTTCTCAACGTTTTTCGTATATTTGAGTTTTCGTTTTCCTGGATCAATGTTACGCACGTGCGTAGGTGCGTAACGCTAGCTACGCCTCTGGTTTTAGAGATACATCTTTTGTTTTCATAATTTAGCCAGATCTGTTCAAGAGATACATGTACATTTTGTGTATCTATTAATTCCTAAATTTAGCCAGATCTGTTCTAGATATATTTTCTAGAGATATTTTTTGTTTGTTTCATAATTTAGTTAGATATGTATTAGAGATGTATCTTTTGTTTTCATAATTTAGCCAGATCTGCTCCAGAGATATATCTATTGTTTTCGTAATTTAGCCAGATATGTTCTAAAGATACATGTATATCTATTGATTCCTTAATTTAGCCAGATCTGCTCTAAAGATATATCTATTGTTTTCATATTTTAGCCAGATTTGTTCTAGAGATATACCTATTGTTTTCATAATTTAGCCAGATATGTTCTACAGATATATCTATAATTAAGCCAGATTTGTTCTAGATATATATCCTAGATATAATCATTGTTTTCATTGTTTTAAAATATTGATCTGATACATGCACTGGTACTAGTAATTGATTGCTACATTTATTTATACATTAATCAGACTTGTTCCTAGAGATATTTATTGTTTCTACAATGTAACCAGTACTGTATCTTTAATTCATGTTAATAAGGCAATTATTAGGGTTTATGATCATTTGTAGTTGTTGTAAACATAGTTTATATTTTGTAGTTGTGTAATATTTGATGCATCTATGGCACAGGGTATATGATTATCAATTGAACCATTGGAAAACCCTATCTTCTATATTTCTAAAAAGGATACACAATGTAGCTTATTTGCTGGAGGCTACAGAATTTACAGATACAATAAGTGCAGACCATGATCAGTTTACACATCTTTGCCATCTGATCATGATCTGTACCGTTCACTATTTAGTCTGTAAATATTTTGAAATTTTCCTAAAAATGTTTGGTGGCAGGAGTATCCATGGCCAAGTGGTTAAGGATGTTGACTACAAACCACTGCCCCCAAACCCCCTCACTGCTGTAGGTTCAAATCCCGCCAGGGACTTTCGATTCTTTAATGTGAGGAAGCTATCCAGCATGGTAGGTTCTAATCAGGTTCCTTCTCATGTTTAGGATAATGCTTTGAGGGCACATAAGGTCTTCCCCTGCCAATAAAGCCATATGACCTCTACTGTGTTGGTGCGAAGTAACACCCAACCAAAGAATTACATTAAGCGGGGTAAGGGTTATTATCCATCATTGGATATTATGATTATAAAGCTCAAAACCAGTATTTGTATGTGTTTGGTCTAGGATTAATTGATCAATTAATTAACCCTGTGTATCAAAATATAATATGGATGGCCTAACATTTAATATTGTATGAAACACTGTATGAAATTTAACAATGTTATTGCATAATTATTTCTAGAGCTGTTGTTATTGTTGTTGTTTTTGAAATCATTATTGTAATTATTTTTGATGTGTGTTATTTTGAGTGTCTAAATATACACATGTTTAAGGAATGTCAAGTTATTATTATTATTATTTTCTCTCCAAAATTGTCAGTTTGACCTTGACCTTTCGTCTGTCCTTC